ACGCAAAGCAGGCAGCGCTCAAGGTGACGTTTGCCAACACCGTGACGGACATCATCAAAGCAGCTGCCGAAAAGGACAGGGCGTCAGCTCTGGGACTGGGTGAACCCCTCTACGAACCAGTGCCTGAGCAGGAAGCTGCTGCCAAGGCAGAGTCGCTGTACAAGCAAGCGGTGGATCGCATCTCCAAGGAAATAGAGACCAAGGAGAACGAGGCCAAGAAGGCGAAGGACAAGGAGGAAGCCAAGGAGCACGCCAGGATGAACATGGACCCGGCTAGCCTCCTCAAAAATGTGATCAACGCGGAGATCAGGGACAAGCTGGGCGAAAGACATGATGTTGATCTGGAAGGTGGGCCTCCAGATGCAGCTATGGGGTCAGAAGCTAGAGCAGTAGATCCAGCTCAAACCTTGACCCGCTTCTGCGACGCAGTGTCTGCAAAAAACGGCCGCTCCCCGGCGGCGGCGCCGGGGGGAACCAGACCAAAGGCAGGCGAGGACAAGGACTGCAGGGGCAAGGGAATAGACCCCCAAGACACGCAGCCCAAGGGCAAAGGCAAAGGCAAGAAGGGCAAGAAAGGCAAGAAAGGCAAGACAGACAGACAGAAAGGCAAAGGAAAAAACAAGGACAACGGAAAGGGCAAGGACTCCAGGAAGGGGAAGGATTCCAAGAAGGGAAAATACCCACACGGGAAAAAGGGAGAGCGTGGTACGAACGGAAACTCTTACGCCAAGTAGCGTGGAGACGCAAGCTCCGGGAGGACGAATCACAGCGTAGTGATATCCGATGGATGTTGCGCATGACGTCTGGGCTAAGCGTTGGGGATTTGCTTACCATCCTGGACTGGCCATCTCAGCAACATCGGGTTCAGCTATACGACCCTACCTCCCTCAGCATGCGGACGGCCAGCGCTCCATGGCCGATCAAATGGTACCTTTTACGTCGCCATCGTAAGCACATTTCTATATCTAAAGCTCTTCCCTCTTTAACTTCCTTCCGACGGGCAAAAAATTTTTGGCCCCAAAGATTTATGGAAAAAGATGAACGAGAGGTGGCTTGTATTTTTTTTTTTTTTTTTTTTTTTTCCCCATTTTTTTGTTTTCATGGACCTCACCGAGATTTACGAGGCCCTTCCGGCACCCAGCCACCAACCTTCACCAAGGAGGCTGAAGCCAACACCAAGCCCAGTTGGCTTCCGATGAAGTGGTGGGTGCAATCTGTCAGCCAGCAGCTCATGAACGCCATGGTGCGTGCCAGGAGACGTTCGCGGTTTTCAGCACGATCGTACGCTAATTTGGGTCCGTTGGAAAAGTGTGCGCTCCAGCTACTCCAGAGAAGCAAGTTTGCGGCGATCCCCAATGACAAGGGTTCCACTTTTTCGCTGGTGCGGAAAGCTGATCTTCCTATCATATCAGACCGTGTTTTTTCATGTAGGCGCTACGTGCCAACCAGCCGGCATGGCATCCACAACGCTCTTGCGAGGTCTTACAACAAAATCTGCAAGTGGGTTGGGGAGAAGTTGGACGATGAAACGTTGAGCCCAGCACTCTTCAAGAGCGCAATATTTCCAGGCAGCACGGCGCGGAGCAGGCTACAGATCTTGGTCAAGACACAGAAGCCTCAGGGAGAAGTGGTTGTGCGAGCTGTCCATGCTTCGTCGAGGTACATGTTTGCTGGGCTCAGTCACTGGCTGGCTCAGGAACTTCGGCGCAAGCTTGGCGACGTCGCACCCTATCTTCTGAAGGATTCACAAGACCTTGTATCCAGAATCAGGCACATCCGGCATACGAGTGTTGAGAAATGGCACATGGCCACAATCGATGTTAAGGACTTTTACTTGAACGGCACACCTGATCAGATCATAGAGGCAATCCTGACATTATGGGCGGCTGACGACCCTATGAAGGAAGTCTTACATCGAGTTCTCGATTTCGTTTTGCATAATCAATATGTGGATGACCCATGGGAAGGGTCCGACAACCTGACGTACCAAGTGCTGGAAGGATCAGGTATGGGCCTGGAAATTTCCGGGCGAGGTCGTTGACTGTACGCTCGTAGGCGCTCATGGAGAGGCGCGTCGTATACGGCAGGGCGGCGAGAAGCTTGCCCACCATGGGTGCAGAGAATGCTGGAGGTCAGAGATGACATTACTGCTCCCGAGTGGGCGGGCTCGCTTCCAGTCGGACAATGTCGCTCTTCAGGGAGATGTCAGGCGCTTCTCTCAACAATCTACCGATGAACGATAACAGGGAATGGCGCGAGGTGCAGTTCCTGGATCTGCTGGTGAGGAAGGAACGGGATCATTTTTCAGTCTCACACTTTCTGAAACCGTCCTCTCTCGCCCCTCCTCTATCTCCCTCCAGTGCTCAACCGCGCCACGTGCACAGCTCGTGGCCAAAAGCCTTTGCACAGAGAGTAAGTCGATTGTGTAGCACTCGAGGCCTATACCAACAGTCTATAGCCACCATAGAGAGTAGGCTTCGCGAGAGTTTTGCAGACGAATACACGCTCAGCATGTTCCGGCAATCTGCCCTCGTAGCTGAGGCACGCTTTTCTTCCACAGGCGCCGAGCCCCCTCGACGCCGAGTGGAACCCAAGAGAGAGTTTTTTTTTCCTGGCTAGTTGTAGGGCACCACCCTGCTACAGTGCAGGAGCTACAGAGAGAGGTAGCTGCTCTGAATGGGCACCCAGTCCTTAGATCGTGGCTTGAACAAGCTTTTCGTTCGCGATTCGGGGAACGCTCCCAATCCATTGGTCTAAGCTGGTGCAATTCGGGCCCCTCCACCCTAAGACGTCTGCAGCAAATCTTGTACTCTAGCGAATTAATGGTGTAGAGGTTGGGGTAGGTGGTGGATTGCTGTTGCTGCTCACGTTTCGTCGGCATCGGCACCACAACATTTTGGCACGAGCCATTTTCAGCGCAGAGCTGAGCAGATCTTAAGGCCAGTCTCTGGACAGCAACTTCCGGAGGCGCTGAGAGAGTAAAGAAGTCTCGCTGATCCCCTCCTGCCCCCTATCCTGGGCCTCCTCCCCATTCCTCCTCCCACTCCTCCTCCCCTGCTCCTCCCCTCCCCTTCCTCGCTCCGTCCCGGGGGACCCCGAGTGGGTCGCCAACCCCATATCGCCCAGGGGGGCCCCTGGGCTTTGAGGTCCCTTCGGAGCTGGCCTCCTCTTCCCTCCTCCTTCCCTCTGGGTGTTAATCGTTCTCTAATCGTCCTCCCCTCCTCCCCCTCCTCCCCTCTTCCTCCACCACCTCCTCCTCCTCCTTCTCCCCCTCCTCCTCCTCCTCCACCATTCCTTCTCCTTATAGAATGACTCCTCCCTGTCGCACCCCGAGGCCAGTTTTCAGGGCGGGCCAGGCGATCTGAGACTCCCCCACCATGTATGACTCTGACGCTTAAACGTGGCAACAGTTTCACAGATGGAGGGCGGGTGGTTTTCAAAATGTGGCCCTCGCCTTAGCGCCGCGCACATTCGTTTTAAACATTTGCAAGAGTTTCGCGGATTGAGGGCGGGTGGTTTTCACAATGTGGTTCTCGCCTTAAGGCCGCGTATACTCGCTTTAAACATTTGCAAGAGTTTCACGGATTGAGGGCGGGTGGTTTTCACAATGTGGTTTTCGCCTTAGCGCCGCGCGCATTCGTGTTAATCATTTGCAAGAGTTTCGCGGATTGAGGGCGGGTGGTTTTCAAACTGAGGTTCTCGTCTTAGCGTCGCGCACATTCGCTTTAAACATTTACAAGAGCTTCACGGATGGAGGGCGTTTGGTTTTCAACATGTGATTATCGCCTTAGCGCCGTGCACATGTGTTTTTCATATTTGCAAGAGTTTTACGGATTGAGGGCGGTTCCTTTTCAGCATGTAGTTCTCGCATTAGCGCCGCGCACATTTTTTTTATATAAAAAAAAATGCAAGAGTGTTCGCGGATTCCCATGATCAGCGAAACCGAAATAGTGTTTTGGAAGGATTCAGGAGTATGCGGGCGCAACAGTTATGTTGATTTGCCGTGTTGAAGTCTCAAAGATGGCACGGCTTTTTGGCACGATTCTGGATCGTCAAGACGCAGCAGTCAGGTTGATACGTGGCGTTGAAATCCCGAGAACAATATTTCGGCACGCTTCAGGATCTTCAAACTGTTGTCTTCCAGCGAGGCAGCTCCCTCAATGGACGTGAACCGTTGTAGGGGCCTATGAAGAGGGAGCTTGGAGAGTGGGCTTAATGCCAACATCGTTGAGGACTCTTGGGTTTCCACTGGTCCTCCTCCTCCTCGTCCTTTGCTGCTGCTGGTCCTCGACGCCACCTCCATGCCGTGCCACGCGTGCTGCCACGAGCTGCGCTGGCCGCGCGAGCCCCGGCAGGGGTGCGCAGGGCGTGCGCCCCCCGGCTGGCCTTCGCAGCGGTGGGGCCGCGCAGGCTTGTGCGCAGCGATCGCTGCGGGCACCCTCTCTGCATCAGCATCAGCCTTTCGGTTCAGGACACGCTGGCGTGGCGCCCGCCCCAGAGGGTGGAGCTGAGCGGAGTGGAGTCCTCGTCTCCCTCGCCCTCCTCGGCCTCCTCCTCGGCCGCGAGCGTCGGGGGCGAAGGGCACGCCGGCAGGCTCGCGTCGGCAGTCTAAGCAGAAAGAGCTTAGAAGAAGAGAGAAGAGCAGAGCAGAGAGCTAGGGCAGTTCTCTTGCCTCGTTGTGCCCGGGTCCAGGGCTTCTGCGCATCGGGGCCTGGCGTGCCTGGGGTGAGGCGGCGTGCGCTCAGCCGCCAGAAGTGGAATCAATGCGACGGACCGCGCGTTCCCTTCCCCTCCCTTCCCGTAGCCCACCCTCTTCCCTTCACTTCCCTTCCCTTCCCTTCCCTTCCCTTCCCGTAGCCCACCCTCTTCTCCAGCACTGCGCTGAACCGACGCCGACGACGGCGGCGGCGGCGACTGCGGCGGCGGCGGCGACGGCGACGAGACGGAGCGCGTGCGGGGCGCGACGGCGACGATGGTGGCGGCGGCGGCGGGAGCCGCAGGCTCGCGGCGGAGGCCGCCGCCCAGGCCCAGGCCCGCGCCAGCGAGGCGGCGGCCAGGGGGGCGCTGGGCGCCGCGGAGCTGGAGAGGCGCGCGGGCGACCTCGCGGCCGAGGCGCCCGCGGGGCGGCGCCGCCGTCGTCGACGCCGTCGTCGTCGTCGCCCTCGCCCTCGCCGTTGTCGCCGTCGCCGTCGCCGTCTCCGCCGCCGCCGTTGACGCCGCCGCCGCCGCCGCGCCGCCGCCGCCGCCGACGACGCCGCCGCCGCCGCCGTCGTCGTCGTCGTCGTCGTCGTCGTCGTCGTCGTCGTCGTCGTCGTCGTCGTCGTCGTCGCCGCCGCCGCCGCCGCCGCCGCCGCCGCCGTCGTCGTCGATACGCTCCAGCACGCTCCAAAGGGGGAGGGGGTCCGCGGGGTTGAGGTTTCCGAGCGTTTTCGTTTCCTGCCTCGGGATGCTGTCCAGCGGCTGCGCTTCACCGAGGGCGTTCCCGGGAGGCCTGGATCGTTCCGAACGGCCGCCGGAGCGACGAGTTGTGGCCCAAAAGCCAGCAGTGGCAACGTAAGGGGGGGGTCGACTCCCAGTCGCTCATCCACCGCCTACAGGGCATATCTCTGATCTATCGGCGATGTATCGCCGATTTCAGGTCGGTGCCCCCCCTCCTCCCACAATGCGATCGAGAGCTCCGCGAGAGGCTTGTTCAGGAGGCCACAAGAGGCTCATCATTGGCCTCGGCTTATTTAATCGCTTCGCTAAGTTCACTGGCCCATGGCGGGAGAGATGGAGGGTATGGGTTTCGATAGGGGAGGAAGAAGGGGAGGAGGAGGAGGAGGAGGAGGAGGAGGAGGAGGAGGAGGAGGAGGAGGAAGAGGAGGAGGAGGAGGAGGGCAGGCCTCTCGACAGCTTCATGGGCACTGTGGGGACCAAATTGAGTCGTGGACAGGACGCTTCTTTGGAAGGCTATGAGGGTCTCTGGGGGGGGCAGGTTTTTTGGAAGGTTCCAGGAATCCTGGATTCTTCGTGACGAGGGTTTTTGGAAGGTTTTTCTGGGAAGGTTCCAGGGATCCTGGATTCTTCGCGACGAGGGTTTTTTGGAAGGATTTTTTTTGTTGGAAGGTTCCAGGAATCCTAGATTCTTCGCGACGACGGTTTTTGGAAGGTTTTTTGGCCGGTTCCAGGAATCCTGTATTCTTCGTGACGATGGTTTTTTTGGAAGGTTTTTTGGAAGGTTCCAGGAGTCTTGGGTTCATCGTGACTCGGGTTTTTTGGATGTTTTTTTTCTGTTGGAGGGTTCCAGGAATCCGAAATTCTTTGTGACTTGTCGGAAGGTTTGTTTGAAGGTTCCAGGGGTCCAGGATTCTTCGTGGCAATGGTTTTTGACAAGTTCTTTAGGATGTTCCACGATTCCTGGAGTCTTCGCGGCGATTGTTTTTTTGGAAGGTTTTCTTGGACGGTTCCAGGAATCCTGCATTCTTCGTGGCGAGGGTTTTTGGATGTTCGTTAGAAGGTTGCAGGAATCGTGGGTTCTTCGTGACCAGGGTTTTTGGAAAGCTTTTTTTGGAAGGTTCCAGGAATCCTGGATTCTTCGCGGCGAGGGTTTTTTGGATTTTCTTCGGAAGGTTCCTGGAATCTGGATTCTTCGTGACGGGGGTGTTTGGAAGTTTTTTGGGGAAGGTTCCAGGGATCCTGGAATCTTCGTGGCGAGGGTGTTGGAAGGTTTTTTTTGGAAGGTTCCAGGAATCCTGGATTCTTCGTGGCGATTTTTCGTTGAAGGTTCCAGGATTCTTCGTGCGAGGATTGTGGGAAGGTTTTCTTGGCAGGTTCCAGGAATCTTGGTTTCTTCGTGACAAGAATTTTTGGCAGGTTTCTGTTTGGAAGGTTCCACGAATATTGGATTCTTCGTGACGAGGGCTTTTGGGGTGGTTTTTCGGAAGGTTCCAGGAATCCTGGATTCTTCGTGACGGGGGCCTTTTGGACGGTTTTTTGGGGAAGGTTTCAGGAATCTTGGGCTCTTCGCGGCGAGGGTTTTTTGGAAGGTTTTGTTTTGAAGGTTCCAGGAATCCAGGATTCTTCGTGACGAGGGTTCTTGGAAGGTTGTTTCTTGGATGGCTCCACGGATCCTGGATTCTTCATGACGAGAGTTTTTGGATGGTTTTTCTGGGGAGGTTCCAGGAATCGGGGGTTCTTCGCGACGAGGATTTTCGGACGTTTTTTTGTGTGGGAAGGTTCCAGGAATCCTGTTTTTTTCGCGACGAGGGTTTTTAGACTGTTTTTTAGCAGGAATTCTGGGTTCTTCGTGGCGAGGGTTTTGCGAAGGTTTTTTTTCAAGGTTCCAAGAATCCAGGATTGTTCGTGACGAGGGCTTTTTTTAAACAAGGTTTTTGTTTGAAGGTTCCAGGAATCCTGGGTTCTTCGTGACGCAGTTTTTTTGAATGTTTTTTTTTGAGGTTCCAGGAATATCGGGATATTCGCGAGGAGGGTTTTTGGAAGGTTGTTTGGAAGGTTCCAGGAATCTTGGATTATTCGTGACGGGGGTTTTCGGAAGTTTTTTTTTTTTTTGGGGGGGGGGCAAGGTTCCAGGAATCCCGGATTCTTCGTGACGAGGGCTTTTGGAAGGTTTTTGTTTGGAGAGTTCCAGGAATCCAGGATTCATCGTGACGTTTTTTGAAGGTTTTCGTTTTTTTTGGATGTTCCAAGAATCTTGGGATATGCGTGACAAAGATTTATTGGACGGCTTTTTCGTGAAGGATTCTGGAAGCATTTTGGAATGTGTGTCGGAAGTTTTTTTGTGTTATATATATATATATGTATGCGTATCTTGTTTTTCATGTTTTAAATGACAAGAAAAGGAAGGTGTTTGGAAGTTGTGTTGGAAGGTTTTTTTTTTTTTTACGTTTTTGTTCGAAGGTTTTTTGGGAAGGTTTTGTGTGTGTGTGGAGGTGTTTGGGAGCCTGTTGGAATGTATTTGGCGGTTTCACTCATCCCACCAGCCCTTTGGGCGCAGATGGTAGGGCGTTTCCCTTTCCAACCTCTTGCCTTTCCCTGCTCGGGAGGTTTACCCCCCCCCCTCCCTGCGTTTGGACGAGGGGGGGGGCGGACCCATAGCAGCGTCCAAGGTGGCCCAAGATGGCTCCAAGAGGGCCTCCGAGAGCGCAAGATGGCTTCCAAGATGGCCCAAGATAGCGGTAGACGGGTCAAGATAGCCTCCGGCACGCGTCCAAGAGGCCGCAAGACGGCCCCAAGAAGGTTTCAAGTGCCCTCCGAGGCCTCCAAGGACCCCCCCCCAAGAGGCCAACATCTGTCAAAAAACCCAAGGGACATCCATGTGTTTTGCTTTCTCGTTTTTTCGCTTCCGAAGGGCTCTTGGGGCCTCAAGATGGCCCCAAGATGGCCCAAGACAGCCCCAAGAGGGGTCCAAGATAGCCCCAAGACGGCTTCAAGAGCGCCCAAGAGCGCTCCAAGAGCGGGCCAAGAGGGTCCCAAGACTGCATTTTTGAGCCTCCGAGGGGGGGGCAAGAATTGCCCCCCCCTCCCCCCCCTTCTTTCGCCATAAGGACCAAGACGGCCCCGAGAGGCCTCCCATAACCCCCCAAAGAGCCCCAAGAGGGCTCCAAGACCTTCCAAAAGAGACCCAAGAGGGCCCCAAGAAGGCCCCAAGAGGACCCCAAGAGCGCCCAGAGAAGGCCCCAAGAGGACCTCAGGAGAGCCCCAAGAAAGAGCCCCAGGAGGCCCCAAGAGGGGCCCAAGAGAATCCCAAGAGGGCCCCAAGATGCCTCCAAGTTTCAAAATGCACGCGAGTTTAAGATACAAAACAGTGCAACAGCCATTACGAGTCATCGCAATACCCTTCACCTCTCATCGAAGCGCCATCGTAATTTGCACTGACTTCCAGCTTAAATTCCAATGCGGGAAGCTATGTGTGATGCTTGTGTTCTCGAAGACGGCTGCGCGACTGCATGCGTTCTGCCGCCCCTGATTCACCAACTCCCCTGCTGATCGTTTCTGGATGGGCTGGTGGGGATTTTTCAAATATCTCTCTCTCTATATATACATGTGTAAAAAAAAAAAAAAAAAAAAAAAAAAAAAAAAAAAAAAAAAAAAGCAAGCGGAAGCGCCAGCGGCAGGCGGTTACGGTCGGGCTGCGGCCGCGACGAGGGGGCGGGCGCGCGCGGGGCCGCGGTCAGGCGGCGGGCAGCGGCAACCCAGGGCGTCTGAGAAGCCAAGGCGTGCAAATCCAGGGAGTCTGCCGGGCAGCCCCTGAGGTGAACATGCAACGGCACATCCAGGGAGTCTGAGAGGTCAGCCACCGAAGAGAGCCGAGCGCAGCCAAAATGGCGCGCTAGGCGTTCCCACTGTGAACGAAACGGACGAACAGAGGTAGGGAAAGTTTTCCGTGCGGGACGTCAATCCAGGGAGTCTGACGGGTATGGGCAGACTGACACTGGTGACGCAGTCCAGCAGGAAAAGTAAACTGACGGCGCCAGCGAGCCGTCGCGACGTCAGAACTCGCATCCAGGGAGTAGAATTGTGAGAAGGAAGTGCTACCACAGCTCACATGCCTTCAGAAACATTAATATAGCTTTCAAGTAACTCAAAAGTAACTTCGGCCTCATGTGGTCGATTTGAGGCACCTGGGCTGGTGAGGCCCCGATGGAAGAAAGCCATTGGGAGCTCCGCAAACCACGCGCCTCAAATCAATCGCACGCGGCCGAAACTATTACTCCTCAGTCCTTTCCTCCTCCTCCTCGTCCTCCTCCTCTTGGCGTAGCAGCGTTCTCGCTCCTCGTTCTCTTTTTCCCCTTTCTTCTCGTCCTTCGCCTTGCAGTGTTATTTGTGCAGTTGTGTGTTATTTGTAGCGTGCCCGCGCAGGGCTCATTACTTTGTCAGTGGTTTGCTGAGGAGGAGGAGGCAGATGATAGGGAAAATGAGGGGAGGGGGGGAGAAGGAGGGGAGAAAGAGGAGAGGCGAAATGAGGACGAGGAGGCGAATAGAGGGGTGGTGGAGGAAGAACGAGAGGGACGAGGAAGAGTGAAGATGGACAGCAGCGAAGGGATAATGAAATGAAGAGGGGGGGCAAACAGGTGGAAGGAGGAAGATGAGGAGGAGCTGCGGGCC